CAATTTAATTTTATCTTTGTTGATAGTGTTACCAATTATCTGATTATTAATTTAGCTATTTACTTGTTTTATTTTCGATTTTTACCTTGATTTTAACGAATCACTTTGTTTATGCCCAGAGTCGAAATTTGGAAATCATACCTTACGATCCCGAGATTGAAAGGACGTTTCGAAGACGACGGGCCACGCGCAAACAACAAAGTGAACCAATGGCCGAAGATCAAGGAAATCCAGAGCACCTGGCATTTGAGTACGATCGAGAGCCAGGACGAGATCACGAGCAGCCAAGACCGAACTTGCCACCCGAGCGAACAATGCGAGAATACCGTACTCTAGCTGTGAATGAGAACTATTCAGGAATCAGGAAACCGACGATAGCCGCAAACAACATCGAGCTAAAGACGGGGCTAATCAACATGGTCATGGCGAACTAATTCTCCGGAGCAGCCACTGCGGATCCGAATCTCCATCTTGCCAATTTCTTGGAGATTTGTGACACGATCAAAGTTAACGGTGTTTCTGATGATACCATTCGGTTGAAGCTATTCTCATTTTCTGTCAGAGACAAAGCGAAGAGTTGGCTTCTGAGTCTCAATCCAGGATCACTCACCTGTTGGGAAGAATTATCACAAGCCTTTCTGGCACGATTCTTTCCACCCTCGAAGACCGCACAACTACGAAGAGATGTAGGCAATTTCAGACAGATGAGCCAAGAGCCGATGCAGGAGTCTTGGGAGAGATTCAAGGAATTATTACGACAATGTCCTCAACACGGATTCAACCCGTGGGATCAAATGGAGTTATTCTACAATGGGCTCGATCAACCAGCCTGATCTTTAGTCGATGCTGCCTCAGGTGGATCTTTGCAAAACAAGACTCCCACAGACGCTCGAGACATTGTCGAGCGAATGTGTGAGAATGCTTACCATTGGCCGTCCGAACGGAGTGGTATACAAAAGGTGGCCGGAGTCCACCAACTCGATCCTTTAGCCGCAGTTTCAGCACAACTAGCGACCCTATCAAATCAGGTCGCCCAATTATCAGTTCGAGGGCCACATACCGAACGAGTAGCAGCAGCAAGTACTTCGCAAGCCACAAACGACGATTGGGAGCAGTCACACTTTATGAACCACCGATTCAACAATTTCCGGGGAACCAACAATCAGAACCAAAACCCTACTCATTACCACTCGGGAATTCGGAATCACGAGAACTTGTCTTACGCCAATCCAAAGAATGCTCTACAACCACCTTCCGATTTCAACCATCAAAGAGAGCAACGAGGGCCAACGTATGACGAGCGTCTTCACCGACAAGAACAGGAAATGGAGGGCCTAAAATCAACAATGAAGAACATGGAAAAGCAAATAGGGCAAGTCGCCCAATCCATGTCCACGATGGCCAAGGGTGGATTTCCGAGCAATACCGAAGTCAATCCAAAAGAAAGCTGTCAAGCCATAACCACCCGAAGTGGTTTGAAAATGACCGATCCTCCTTATCCGACAGACGAGTCACCAAGGCCAGCTGTACCACCAACCCTGGTCGAGCCGGAAATCACCATTTCAGGGAGTGGTACAAAAGAGGCTAGTAAGCCCAATAACATTTCTTTTCGTGATAATCCCCCTCTTATGATAACTCCTATTCCTTTTCCAGAAAGATAGAAGAAGAAGAAGTTCAAGGATCAATTGAAGAAGTTCATTGAAAAGATCAAACAGATTCGAATCAACATCCCTTTTGCAGAAGCCTTGGAGGTAATGCCAAACTACACCAAGTTCATGAAGGAAGTCCTATACAAGAAAATTCGGATCGAAGAAGACATACCAGTGACACTCACGGCAACTTGCAGTGCCATTCTTCAGTCGAATCTACCACCCAAAATGAAAGATCCAGGGAGTTACACTATTCCTTGTATTATTGGAAATTCTACATTCGATAAAGCTTTATGTGATTTGGGGGCAAGTATTAATTTGATGCCTATGTCTGTGTTTCTAAAACTGGGCTTAGGAAATTTGAACCACACTCGCATGACTTTACAACTAGCTGATCGTTCATTGAAATATCCCGATGGGATTGTAGAAGATGTGCTAGTTAAAGTAGATAAATTCATTTTGCCTGTTGATTTTGTGGTACTTGAAATGCCTGAAGATGATGAATCACCCAATCATTTTAGGTCGGCCATTTTTAGTCACTAGTAAGGCGATGATTGATATGGAATTATGATCTTTAATGCTTAGGGTAAATGGGGATGAAGTTGTTTTTAATTTGACAGATGCATTTAAACATTCTGAGCATGTTGAGCATTGCAGTAGAATAGACGTGATCGAGGACTGTGTTTCCTCTTTTTTTGATTTGTATGAATTATGTGATTCTGTTGAGCACTGCATTGTTAATTCTATTGATTTGCATTCTGCCTCCCCTGTAACTCCTATTGAAAATGATGTGCTTGATTGTGTGTTGTTTCTTCAGTGTGCCGAGATTTTAGGCGTAGACGAGGTAGGAATCGTCCCTGAGATACCAGTTAGTGTGAAAACGGCCACCGTACTGGAATTGAAACAATTACCGGATTATCTTTGTTATGCTTTTCTTGGAGCAGACAAGACTTATCCGGTGATTATTTCTTCTAGTTTGAGCGAGGCCGAAACAAACACACTGCTGGAGGTCCTTAGACAATATAGGTCGGCTATAGGTTGGTCTATTGAGGATATTAAGGGAATTAGCCCGTCTATTGTTCAACACAAAATTCTAATGGAAGACGTCTATAAACCGAGAGTCCAACCTCAGAGGCGGTTAAACCCTTCAATGAAAGAGGTAGTAAAAAAAGAAGTCTTATAACTGTTAGGCGCTGGTATGATTTATGCAATTTCTGACAGTCCGTTGGTCAGTCCGGTGCAGGTTGTACCAAAAAGGGGTGGGATGACGGTTATTGTGAATGATAAAAATGAACTTATTCCGTCTAGAACAGTCACTGGGTGGCGTGTGTGTTTCGATTACCGATTATTGAATGCTGCCAACCCCGGTTAAAAAATAATCGCAAAAATCCACCTAGAAAAGACCATTTCCCCCTTCCCTTTATCGATCAAATGCTAGACAGGCTAGGAGGTTTCGAGTATTACTGTTTTCTTGATGGTTATTCGGGGTACAATCAAATTTCAATCGCCCCGGAAGACCAAGAGAAAACTACTTTTACTTGCCCCTACGGTACTTTTGCATTTCGTAGGATGCCTTTTCGGTTTGTGTAATGCACCTGCTACCTTTCAACGATGTATGATGTCTATTTTTCATGATATGGTAGAAGAATTTCTTAAGGTGTTTATGGATTATTTTTCTGTGTTTGGATCGTCTTTCGATCATTGTGTGCACAATCTAGAACTTGTTTTAAAAAGATGTACAGAAACGAACCTTGTATTAAATTGGGAAAAATGTCATTTTATGGTTCGTGAAGGTATTGTTCTAGGTCACAAGGTGTCAAAAAAGGGTCTTGAGGTGGACAGGGCAAAAATCGGAACGATTGAAAAATTGCCTCCACCGAAGGATGTCAAGGGGGTTAGAAGTTTTTTAGGGCATGCTGGGTTTTACCGTAGATTCATTAAAGATTTTTCGAAAATAGTAAAACCATTATGTCATTTGCTTGAGAAGGAAGCTGTATTTGATTTTGATTCTGCTTGTTTGCAGGCTTTCACGTTTCTCAAGGAGGAGCTAACCCAATCACCGATTATGATTACTCCCAATTGTGAAGAACCATTCGAGATCATGTGCGATGCGAGCGACTATGCTGTATGTGCAGTATTGGGACAAAGGAGGGACAAAATCTTCAAAACCATCTACTATTCGAGTCGTACACTTGACCAGGCACAAATAACTATTCAACGACCGAAAATGAAATGATTGCTGTCGTTTATGCCGTTGACAAGTTCAGACTGTATATTTTGGTGTCTCAGGTGATCATTTACACCGACCACGCAGCTATTCGATACTTGTTCGCAAAGAAGGACGCCAAGCCCCGACTCATCAGATGGGTACTCCTACTCCAGGATTTCGACTTGGAAATCAAAGACAAAAAGGGGAGCGAGAATGTGGTAGCAGATCATCTTTCCAGACTCATACTAGAAGAAGTTCCAGCCGAAGGAAATATTCAGGAATCATTCCCAGACTAGCAGCTGCTCGCCATTAGCACTCACACTCCGTGGTATGCTGATGTGGCCAACTTATTGGCCAGTGGAATCATTCCTGACGATCTATCCTATCACCAGAAGAAAAAATTCCTTTACGACAGTCGTTTCTATCTATGGGACGAGCCGTTGCTTTTCAGAACCGGCCCCGATCGTGTCATCCGAAGATGTGTTCCAGAAACCGAAGTTCGTGAGATTCTCACACATTGCCACTCTTCACCTTGTGGCGGGCATCACGGGGAATCTCGCACAGCCGCCAAGGTTCTGCAGTCAGGCTTCTTTTGGCCAACCCTATTCGGAGATAGTTACGAGTTCGTGAAACGGTGTGATCGATGCCAACGAACAGGGAACCTATCCAACAAAAGCCAAATTCCTTTGAACAACATGCAAGAGATGGAGCTTTTCGATATTTGGGGCGTTGACTTCATGGGACCATTCCCTTCTTCGAACGAGAAGTTATACATTCTTCTTGCCGTGGACTACGTGTCCAAATGGGTCGAAGCAATTGCCATCACTGCCAACGATGCTCGTACAGTCCTCAAATTCTTCCACAAGAACATATTCTCAAGGTTTGGGACACCCAGGGCGATCATTAGCGATGAAGGATCTCACTTCTGCAACAAACTGCTCACTAATCTCACGAATAAGTTGGGGATCCGACACAAAATTGCGCTAGCTTATCATCCGCAAACAAATGGCCTTGCTGAGTTGTCAAACTGAGAAATCAAACAGATTCTGGAGAAGACCGTGAGCACGAACCGAAAAGATTAGGCGTTGAAGCTCGATGATGCACTTTGGGCCTATCGAACCGCATTCAAGACACCGATTGGGATGTCTCCGTACAAACTTGTATATGGGAAAGCGTGCCACCTGCCAGTGGAATTGGAGCACCGAGCTTATTGGGCAGCCAAAAAGCTCAATTTCGATCAAACAACCACTGGCGATCGTCGATTGCTTCAACTCAACGAAATGGAGGAGTTCAGAAACGATGCTTACGAGAATGCCAATATTTACAAAGAAAAGACGAAAAAGTGTCATGACAAAAGGATTACAAAGCGAGAGTTCCGGGCAGGTGACCAAGTCCTGCTATTCAATTCTCGGCTACGACTATTTCCGGGAAAGCTCAAGTCCCGTTGGTCAGGACCATTCGTAGTCCTGAGCGCAACCCCACAAGGAGTTATCGAAATATGAGGACGAGACGGTCCATCATTCAAAGTGAATGGGCAACGAGTTAAGCATTACTATCCAAATGGTGCTCCCGAGGAAGTGGAGCGTGTCGCACTAATTTTCTCCCAATAAATCCAAAAGAAGTCGAGCCGTCGACTGTAAAACACGCGCTAAATGGGAGGCACCCCATTATTGCTCATTCTCTGTCATTATTTTTTGTTCTTGCTTTCGTTTTCGTTTTTAGTCTTTTCTTGCATTTTTATATTTTTTAGGGTTCAATATCTCTATCTCACCCGTTTAAATTTCGAATTTTATTCAGAATACATGACCTAGATCGCGATCCAGAACCTCGGATCGCGATCTGGGGGGTCTTACAGTGGTGAAATAGATGCGGAACCAGATCGCGATCCACACACCCGGATCGCGATCTGGGATGTTATACAGAAGAAAAAATATGACAATCCAGATCGCGATCCAGCAATCCGTATTGCGATGTGGGGGGTCTTACAGAGAGAAAATTGAGGTAAATCCAGATCGCGATCTGGGGGGTCTTACAGAGGCTACAAGTTGCGGACCCAGATCGCGATCCGGCCCTTCTAGATCGCGATCTGGGGGCAAAAACTATACTTATACGAAAAAAAACCTCTCTTCTTCTCACTTCCTTATTTTCAAAAACTCGAAACCCTTTTCCCCCAACCCTAGAACTTCAATTCTCTTTCAAATTTCCTCTTCAAACTTGCATATTTTTAGATTTTCATCAACTATTAACGATTATTTCTTGCTTTTATTGAGAATTGTAGACGAATCTTCAACAAAGGTATGTTCTTGACCCAAATTTTTAAGTTTTGCTTGAAAATTCGAATTTCATCCAATTTTCTTGTTTTGTCCCTTGGTTCTTCAATTCTTATTGCTTGTACGTAATTAGGTACTTGATTTTGGAATTTAAAGGCTTGTTTAATTGGTTGAACCAATGTTTAAATATAGGAATTGCCCTATTATGCTTAATTTCGAATTTCTTGTGAATTTTTGAATGGGTCGAGTCATATTATGCTAATTTTTGCTCGTTGATCGTCATTAATTGTTGTTGTTGTGTTGATTGATGTACGAGGGTTAGTTTTCGAAAGAAACTAACATTCAAGGAGTTTCAAAGAACTTGCGCACGCCAAGTGTTCGACGAATTGTCCGAACCAATTTCAAGTTTCATTTTGCACCCTCATTCACACCATGACTTCACCGGCAAACAAACTCCAAAAGACGAGCGAGAATTCCAAGAAAGCCCAACCGAAGGGCAAAGGAAAAGCATCGGAAAAGAAGAAGGGAAAGGCTCAAGGCAAAAAGGGGGAAGAAGGCTCTTCACACTCGCCTTCACATTCGGAGGGACCAACCGAGCAAACCATTCCTAGAACCGGTGACGTGCCACTCAACACGGGCGCCCGAGCCAATCAACGCACGCTCGTGAGCGACGTCACCTTCGACGAACACGATGAAGACATCTATGTGAATGTCGAAGCCAAGAGCGAATTTATCGACCGCCTCCCTCGTTCGATCGTCCCAGAGCGTGAGTTGTGTGTCCGTACGATTGGATGCCCCTCGGTCGTCAACAACATCCAAGAAAGGTGTTGGAGAGTACTCGTCGACAAACCGGGCACCTACAACGAAAACTTGGTCCGGCTCTTCTACGCCAATGCCGGTCAGTACAAAGGCTCGGTGGTTCTCATCCGGGGCGTCGAAGTTCGTTATGACGCAGACGCAATCAACCGAGTCTACAAGCTTATCCCCCGTCTTCCGGACATCCCGACCGAGCCGTTCCAGACACTGAAGATGGAGACGACGTACAAGGACCTCATTCAGGCCCTGTGCCCCCGAGGATCGTATTGGGCATCAGGAGATAAGTGGTTCTATCGAGCCGAGCTCTCGAGGGAGGCGAAGATTTGGATGTATTTCGTTTGCTCCCGACTCATGCCGACGGTTTCAACGGCCCAGCCCTATGCCACTCGCCTCACGTTGATGTACGCAATCATGAAGGGCACCCCTCTGAACGTGGGTGCCATTATCCACTCAAAGATTCGACGGTGCATGGGCGACACCTCTTTGGGCCCGATGTTCCCCTCCCTCATCACCGCCTTATGCAAAAATGCCAACGTGGCGATGTTTGCCGACGACAAGGTCACAAAGGCTCCGAAGCCAATCTTCCCGTTCGACAAGCTCCAGCCAGCTTCCGGTCCACAGGGCGAGGGCGATGGTCCTGAGCCAGATGCGCCACCATCCGAGGATTCCCGACTAGCCCGAGCCGCACCATGAGGCGGAAAAAGACAGCATACAGCAGCAGCAGCAGCTCCGCCACTTCCGGAGTATATGACCGAGTGGATGGATGCTATGGAGGAGAACGTGGGCTGGTTCAAGAATATGATCAAGGTGATGGCAGCAGCACTCCAGTGCAGGATGGACGACGTCGTCGAGCCACGACCATTCCCACCACGGCCTCGTTTTGACGGAGCATCTACCTCCACCGCAGCCGCAGAAGAAGCTGCACGAGCGGCAACCAGCACACTAGTGAGGCCCGTCTGGGAGGAGCACGAGCGTGGACTTCGAGAGGACGAGGACCGAGCTATCGAGGAAGACCATGACTTCTAGGGACGTTGTGTTTTCTATCCCTTTTATTTTTTATTCTAGTTTTGAGCATAGGGACTATGCTAGAGTTTGAGTTTGAGGGTGGTGTTTGTTGAACCTCTTTTTTTTTGTTTTTATTTTGTTTGTTTTGGGATAAGTCGTTGGATTGATATTTTCGTTTACGATGTATCTTTTCTAGACTTTGTTTTTATTTTATTTTATTTATCTTATTTTGATTTGGTCTTTTGCATGCATATCATATAATTTAGTTTCGTTTATGTATTTCAATTTCCGTCATTGTGTTATGTTTGTCACATGCATTTCATTTAGGATCGAGTGTAATTTTCATTTCTGGGTTCTATTGAAGCAAAGAAATTAATGAATTAGTAGATGGGCTAGTTGATTTTAAAATTGAAATTATGGATAACCGGCTAATTATAGATGAACCTTCCGACTGCGTTTTTGCAACTTGTGTGGATAGCCTTTCGAATCCTTTCTGATTAGGCTTGAGCGCGCTTTTCTGAGGGGTATAATAGTCTGAGGTTTGGGGGGCGAGTTAGAATTGAATTATGTGTTCACGATTTCCAGTTGTTGGCTAAAAGTTCTATCAATGGTCTTTACGTTTTTATTTTATGTTTTACGTCAAAAAAAAAAAAAAGAAAAAGAGAAAAATAATAATTTGTGGTATTGTTGTGATTCACGCTCTGATTTCCCCGCCTTTCTGACTCGAGCTTAACCCATTGGGTGCACCTCGTCGCCTAAGTCTCTCGAGCTGTCGAGCTTGGGGGTTTCTTGGACTAAAGTTCGATACATGGGTCAGGGAGATAACACAGTGGTGTCGAGCCTTGCACGAGTCACGATTATGCCCGTTTAAAAAAAAAATGAAAAAATAAAAAAATTGTGATGAAAATCACCAAAAATATTGTTGTTATCATTTCTTATTGAATAAATAGACCTACTTATGCCCAACTCGAGTTTTTGAATTTCAGAATCAAAACTTGCTTTCACCCACATTTCTACTCAAAACCCTCGATGATTGTGTTTATTGTTTAATTACGGATTCTTGAGTCTATCTTTCGTTTTGGTGTAGAAACAACTAATTGCGTCGGTACGTAGGAAAGTCGAATACCTTAAGCCGTATGCCATTCTAAGATTTGAAGTTATCTAGCTCGTTTTATCTTTGGAATTAATTGCAATGCTTTGACCAATCCGGCAACTTTGTGGGTGTGTTGTCTGAAAACCTTCACGAGACACAACTCGTCCTTTGGGGGTACCCAGGGGTTCAAAGGCTTGTTGCATACGCTAAATGCAATCGTGATTCCCTACGTTAGTGGCCTAGTTTAGTTTGTTGTTTTTATTTTCTTTTTGTTGTTGTTTCGTTTTGATTTACTCTGGACGAGTAAAGATCTAAGTTTGAGTGTGTGATAAGTGTTCGTTTTGTACAATTTTTGCTTATCAAATCTTCGAGTTTTGGTCTTCGTTCGTCCGAGTTTCGGCTTTATTAGTATATATTATTGCGTTTCTTGTTTTATTTCTATTTCAGGGTTTTATTAGGTATTTTTGCCGAGTCGAAGCCATTGGAAAGCGAAACCGAATTTTCAAGCCAATTTTGGGGCCAAGAAGACCTAGATCGCGATCTGCCATCTCTGGATCGCGATCTGGGGGTTGTCACAGTGCTGAAATTGATCAAGATCCAGATCGCGATCCAGCAATCCGTATCGCGATCTGGGAGGTCTTATAGTGCTGAAATGTTGAAGACCCAGATCGCGATACACATTTCTGGATCGCGATCTGGCATGGTGGTGGGCAGTTCCCCGAGGCTGCCAGATCGCGATCCAAACAACCCAGATCGCGATCTGGGCACGCCTTTTGAGAAAGATATTTTGTTTTGCAAAGCTTCTTGAGGAAGCTTTGCATTTCACTATAAATAGAAAGGCCCTTTCATTCTTCATTCTTCTTCGACTTTTTACGGTTTTCGATAGTTCTTCGCGGGAATCATCAACGGGGGTTTCGACTTGGGTTTTTCTTACGCAATTTCTTTACGTTTTGTTCTTCATTTCCATTGTACATTCTTTTGACATTATGTTTGTTATGAACTAAGAACATTTTCTTCTAGGGCAATGAAGCATTGTATATATTGATTTCGATCGTCATTTTTGTTATCTTTTTGTTGTGTTTCGATTTCGTTTATGTTTCCCTGTATTAAATGCTTCCGATTGTTTGATCAGCTCTCGGATTGATATTAAATAGGAATGAACTCGAGAGAGGATTTCTTGTTTGAAGTTAGGAAAACATAGCTCGGGGTGTGGAAACGGAGACGTGATGCACTTCGGGCAGCCCTTAAGGACTTGACCTTAATGCTCTCTTAATAGCAGGTTCTGAACGGAGACGTCGGACCTGTGGGTAGACTCTAA